AGCTTTTGGGAGTGGAAGGAGTCCGTCTGCCTAGAATGTCCCAAACATATTCGATTGGGTTCATGTCCGAAGAACATGTTAGCAAATCCAATCGTATGACTCCTTCCTCCAACAGACAAACCATTCACCAAGCACGATGTGGCCTGAAATTGTCGTCCATTAACATGAAGTTATCTCCAATTGCTGCAGCGTAAGGGACTACAATAGGTCTCATATCTCATCCCTGTATCGGCGTCCAGTCAGAGCTCCATTTCAAGCGATATGGAGATCGGTGCACCAATCAATGGAAATGCCAGCATAGACCGTCACTCCCCCACAGCCGAATCTTGCATTTTCGTGCACGAACGCAGGATTGTTTCGAGTGCCACGTTCCCTCCAGATGAAAATACGCGCCTATTATTAGGATAAACAGACAAACGAGACTGGTCAGAGAAAAGAATATTGCGCCATTCATTTCTCCTCCAATTCACATGCTCTGTTACCCACTCCCTGCGGGGCGCGACGGTGCCTTGCTGTTAACGTAACACACACCATTGGTTTGCGAGCATAAAACCTACAGCGTGATGGTGGTTTCGGGCAATTTGTGTCGAAACTGTGGTGCCAGTACCCAAGCGAAGGTGTTGTTGAAGAAAAGTGGCATTCATATTTTGGAGTCTCTGAACCGTTGACGTTAAATAACGGTCTTCATTGGGTGTTGTTGCAAGTCTACGCCCTTGCCCTGATCTTCGGCCTGCATTTCCAGTCTCCAAAAACGATCCATTAATCACACTTTGTGAAACTCCAATGGCTTCTGCTACTTCGGCTAGTGTTTGGCCCCCCACTAACTGGCCAACAACTCGTCACGCTTCTGATTCGGCTAAAGGACGTCGTTGAGCCATCGCACTCATCGAAACATCGCGCTTACCGAATTTCGTTCATTCTTTTCCACTTTTTCTGACATAACTTATTAAGTTGAAAGCCAAATCAAATTCGCAGACCTTAAAACGTCGTCTTTGAAGGCAGACTCGAAATTTGCGTACTTCAAAGTTTGAAAATAAAATAAAAATTTGTATTTGTGCCTCTCTCCTTCCATTTTATGCTCAAAATAATTTGCTTATAACGTTATTTTATAGGTTAATGAAACATTATTTCCTAAACTGATTGCAGTTTTCTGAACTGAAGAAAAGGGAAGGAAGGTTGAAAAGTAAAGCTTCATTTAGGGCAAACTGAAAACAGAAATTCCATATAATCAGTTTGTTGTGATGTATCATTGTCTTCACAATAAATTAGAAGGAGTTATTTGAAGATCTGGTGTTTGACAGATGCAGCGGTTAATTAAGCAGGTCAACTTATTTATAAATTATGACCAGGCGTTGTATTTTGTGACGATAAAAAGAAAAAATTTCCTATTCATTTTACTTGGTCAAGTATTTTTCATGAGTTTAGTGTTTTGTTGCTCTTTTATAATATTTTCTAACTAATGACATTCATATGTGTATGAGTCCGTAGCTATTAAATATTTCACAGTTTAGATTAGATATTCAGCTTAAACATCTCCCATATTTATTAATAGATTGCAACACATGCAGCAGCAAATTAAACAGATCAACTTAATTATAAATTATGACCAAGCGTTGTTTTTTGCGACAATAAAAAGTAAAATTTTTCGTATTTATTTTACTCAGGGGTCAAATATTTTTCGTGACTTTAGTGTTTTGTTGCCTTCCAATACATTGGTCTTATGTTTTCCCAAAACTAAATGGGCTCCTTTGACGAAAATTAGAATCCCTTTTATATTAGTATCCCTTTTATATTTTTTTCTAATGCTCTAATTACAAGCAAAAATATATTGTGGTATATTTAATTATAAAAAAAAACATTCTAATAGTTACTTAAAATTTTTTTTTACATTATCAATAGTATATTTGTACTAAAATACTAAATCTAAAAAACATGGTCTGAAAAAAAAATTTCATTCACATTCGAATGCTTATCACTTATTGATTTTATAAATTAAAGGAATTTTAACGATAAATAACTGTTTTTCTTAGATCTAAATAATTGCAAATAAATGGAAATTTGCAAAATTATTGTTTTGTAGTTAACGGACAAAAAGACACCAGTGTTTCATACTGTATTTCATAACCATAAATTACTAAAATGCTAAATACAATATTTTTACTTATTTTGACCTAAATTAATAAAACATAATGAAAAAAGAATGAACAGTATGTTTGATGAAAATGCTCTGTCAAAGGGTTAAGGCATATATAAAATCCAATCTTCCTTCCAGAGTAAAAAGCGTATGATATTAGTGATACTACGAATTAGGTGGCCATCTCACCTTCAACTTTAGAAGAGATAGCCACATAAAATCGAAGAATGGTCAATTCAATTCATGCGTAAAAAGATATTGTTATAGATTTTTCAGATTATCAAAATTATACATATGTCAGAAAATTGCATCAGCGAAAAATTTTTTTAATTCTTTATGTATTGAATTCAGAAATAAAGTAAAGAACATTTTTTTTTCACTGTCTGTCGCTTTCAAAGCACACATCTCTACAATAATGCATGCAATATGAATTTAATACTAATTATAATATGGTATAATATGACTTAAAATATGTGTTTCTTTTACTTTTCAAGAGCCGAATAAATGCATAAAAATGCTTAAATCCAGTGAAGGGTTCAGGTGGGGAAAATATTTGTCTAATGCGACGAATGCTATACTAATTGGGTCATATTTAGTAAGAGGATTGTCTCAAATATTTCCCATTCCCCGAAAGACTTGCAGGTCAGTAATTTTAAAAAGGGATTGAACAAATTAATAATAAAAAAGAATAGAAATTTAAAAAATGAGGGAATACAACGTTAAAGAACTGTCCTGAATAAATAAACAGGTTGCCACATCATTAGCTCATCTTAGAAATAATTAAACTAAGAAATATCGTGTTTAAATTTTAAAAATCAGTTATTTTTTTTTTCAAATTCTAGTACATTTATTACCAAAATCATTTTGAAATGCGCACACACAAAAGTAATAAAAAATGGAGTAAAATTAATGTTATGTAAAATTTGAAGGTATAAAATATAAAAAAAACTTAAAGTTCTTCGCTTTGGGGAATGCAATTCGTAAAAAGAGAGAAACTGATAGTTATTTTAATAATCTAGGCTAAATTCTAAAGTTTCTAAATTCATTCATTTTCTCATAATCATCTAAGGAATAGAATATCCAAAGGGCTAAATTATAAAATTATATTTTACATAATTAAAAACCCTAACAACGATTCGGTGCTAACCAATAAGGAAATGCCAGCTGGCTGCGTTATCTGCAAAACACAGTAAGTGAGTGAATTTTGCTGCTTTAAAAACAATAACTATCAGATAAAGAGTAATTTTAAAACATAGTAAAAATTATGATTCAGTTCTAAAATAAAATATTTTTCCTTTATTTGAACTTAATGGTCAACAAACTTATAATTTAAATTAAATTTTAATCGTAAACTTTAATTTTTAACTTATTAACATTAAACTAAAAAACGTCATAATATAATTAAACATTTATTAAAAACTTCTGACCAATCATTAGAAATTCATTGAAGATTACAATTTATCTACAAATATCTTAAATTATCCATAAGTAACGTTTGTCCTTGTTACTTAACCCTTTGACGCAGATGGGACACGGATGTTCCATTGATATATTTTTTTCGACATTCTAATTAAAAGCAAAAACACATTTTAATATTTTTTTTAATTATAAAAAACAGTCTAATAAAAACATGATTTAAAAAAACTGTCTAAAAAAATCTGTTAGATTATCGAAATTATATTTGGCCTAAAATATAAAGTCTAAACAAGTAGTTTGGAAAAAAAATTTCATTAATATTCATTAATTATTAATATTCAATTAATATTTCTTCATTAATATTCAATATTTTATTAATTAATCAATAACTTATTTTGCAATTTAAAGAAATTTCAATGATGAATAACTATTTCTCTTAGGTAACTGCATATAACTGAAAATTTAATATATAATATGAATAATATAGAATTAATTAAAAAAGAGTTTAGTATAAAATTTAATGTAACAACTGAAAATAATTGAAAATTTGAAAAATTGATGCTTAAAATTAAGACAAAATGATGAAAAAAAAGAATGAAAAATATGTGTAATAAAAATTCTGCGTCAAAGGGTTAAGATTATCAGTTAGGGTTTGACATCTAAAAGTTTTAATAAATATTAGGTTGAATATTTCACTAAAGAGATATTGTTCACTGACAAAGGCAGTCTAAGAATATCATTTTTAAAATGCTTTTATTCAAGTTTAAGTTGATCACTAGCGTAATTAATAATAAAAAATTCGAAATTATAGTAAATTTAATAGTCTTAATTAAAAATTGCGTTTTGGAAATCTTTCAATGAATAAATTAAAGAACCACAGAAAAGAACATATATGTACATTTTAGTTTTTTTTATTATGTAAAGAATTAAAACTATTTACTATACATTTATTTGAACTGGATCTTTAAAACTAAAAAAAAAAAATACAAATTGTAAATGAATACTTCATTTTAATTAATAAATAAGTATTCAACTTCTTAACAAAATTATTAAAATAATAATTACAATCTTAAAATATCTGAAACCGCTTGCTGTTTTTTAAGTTTTAAAAATAAAATTGTTTTATAAAATAAAAATTTATATGAAAAATGTATTTTAACAAGTTCTGATAAAAACATACAGTTTTCATAAATATTTATTTATTTTATTCTACATATATCTGCTTAAAAATTTTCTAAAATTCTATTAATTATCACATCTAAGTTTAATATAATTCGATAAAGCAAATGTTTTTTTTTTTTTTTTCTTAAAGTTTCAGCAACAACACAAAAGAATCTTTACTTTTTACAAAAGTAAAGATTCAGACTTTAATATTTCATCATGCACAAAAAATTTTGTGAAATGATTAAAATTCTGCTGATACTTTAAAATCATTAAAATGAAAACTTACTTTTAATCCGTCCACTAATCGTAAATACTAATTGTGCGCTCTTTCAACTTTCACGTACGACAATAAGTTCAATAATTAATTCCGATTTTCATCTTTTTAAACTAAGCTCTTTATTCTCTCTCAAGAGCATACTTCACTTATTCGCTCTCTTGCATCGCGTTCTTTGTTCTATTTGATTTCGGAATCTTATGAACTCGGCCAGAAAATTTCCTGAGTTCCTGAGTGTCACGTGGTTTATGGTCAGCTGTTTCCATAGTGACTAGCAAACGATTCTTTCCAATGATTTGCTCATCTTTAAGCACTCAGAAGACAATGAAAAATAATCGTTATCGGTTTTCTATCTGTTGATTGCTTTTAATGCTTTATTCATTTATGGACTGTTGCGTTTCATAAAATTTTTTTGAAAAAGAAAGGGTTACATTAAAACAGCTAAATATACATTAACTTTCGTAAACTTAATGTCTTCGAATTTCAAATCAATTACTCGTATGTGAGGTAAAAAAAAATAATATTTATTAGAAACACTTTTAATTTTATGATTCTATTTTATTTACAAAATGATAAGCTTGACTTTTTTATGCATGATTTCCTCAAGGGCGTGTTATATAAAAAATAAAAAAAATTGTGAAAGTATATATTAAAATTATAAAAGTATATTCATTGTTTGTTAATGTCTCTTTTTTAAACCACTTTTAACTTAAATAATTTTCATTATTACAAAGCAGATCACTATTAAGAAATTCATAAAAACATTTCATAAGAACATTCATCAACATTATTAAGAACATTTGATCCTTCTGTTCAAAAAAACTCAAAAACTTCATTTAAAACTTCAAAAAAGACTTATAGTTTTTAAAATATTGCATTTCATGTGTTAAACTTGTATTATTTATAACCTGTAATTATTTAAACTTGTATATAATTTTAATTTCAAAAACGATTTATAAATAAAAAAAATAACTCAGTGAAATCATATTAACATCAAATTGTCAATCCTATAACTGATTTTTAATTCAGGTTTTTGTTTTCTTTCTTCTATTTAAAGATTTTAACATACTTATAATTTCTTTTTATTGAATAAGTTTTATGAAATAGTATTACAAAAGCAAATAAGGATGTTCCATGAATGAATTCTTTAAGATTTCTTTAAAAATTCCTTTCAATAATGAAATCAAAATAGCATGTATGTTTATATTAACGTTAGAAATCGCAAATTAATATTTAAGCAAAGAAATAAAATAAAAACGCAATCATGATCCAACGAAACGTTATTAAGTATGACGGGATTAAAAACGTTGAAGCCAGTTTGATTACGGGTGGTTAGGAGCTTAAATTTCCTTGAAAACAGTTTTTCCCTGTCAGCTTTCAGGGCACAACCATAATTAGGATTGGCATTGAACCGTAAAATGAAATTTGAGCACACGTAGCCAGAAAGTAGTAAAATTTTCGATTAAATACGAATTCTATTTGGCAATAAATTTTGTTTGATAAATTTTGGCGTAGTTAATTCTGCTTCCAGTGGACAGGAAACAATTTAAACACGAACTGCTATTCAGCAGAAAGATGCCATTAAAATTTAAACACCCTAGCTATAATTCGAATTTTGACAAAATTTTATTTGACAATGAACTTCTATTTCTGACAACTTAAAATAAATTCTGCCTGTAGTGGTGAAAAAATGTTTGCAGCCTGTATTGCGTTTCAGCACAGAGCTCTCGATGAAATTTGAGCACAATAGCCAGCCAGAAAGTGGTCAAATTTTTTGATGATGATATAATATCGTATTATCCATAAATTCTGCTTTAACCATTAACAAAACGATAAAAACTTGTATTGTCATTAGGCACTCTAGATAATCAAAAAGTGGTCGAAAGTTCGTTTGAGGGTAAACTCTATTTGGTGGCAAAATTCAGACCTAATTTCAACCACCTGTGATTTCTGTGATTTTTATTGTAAGTAATATAAATTTTCCGAAATAAAATTAATTAATGGAACTGAATGAAGAAAAAGTATGCATAAAATTATTAAGAGATATATTTAAATATAAATGTTTCGCCAACAGTGTCAAAATTTTCTCTCTCAAATACCTGTAGCAAAGTTATAAGCCCAGCAATGAACAATAGTTACAATAAACTTTTTTTACGAAACTAAGAGATTGTCGATCCACAATTTTTCTCAATAACTTCCAAGAGTCGATTTTTCATTGACTAAATCAAGTTTTCAAGTTAAGTTTTAGGGATTTCGTCCCATTCATCCATGATAGCTAGCTCCGATTCGTATACAAAATCATATTGGAGCTTATTTGCATACACTTTTCTTGCTAAATAGCTCACAAGTTTTCCATAGAACTGCGTTAAGGACTGTGGTTTAGTCAGCTTAGACCTCGATTCTCTCTTTCTGAAGTTGATTGGGGCACAAAGCATAGAGCATTGCCTTGCTGAAATTTCCAGTCTAACCCTCCTATATGTGAACCAAAAAATAAGTAAGTAAAAATCAGTTGGTAAAGTAGTTGCGGATTACAACTAGAGTAAATTATCCAAAAAAAATTGTTGTTGGTTGCATTTACCATACGCAAAAGATCCTCATACCATCACCAAGTCTCCCACCATCTGCCTACCGATGAAATCATGAAGTTCTGTTCATAAATCATAGCTGTAGTAATCATTACTTTAGTGGCCATCCAAATTTAAACTTTTTTGTTCGGAAAAAATAATACTTTTCCAAGTAATATCCCAGGTCATGACATCCTTTGATCACTACTGCCTTTCTTCTTTATGATGTTTCCTGCTTTCTTTTTAAATTTTCGAAGCAATCGAAATTGATTCCAAAGTGTGCCATACTGTTGTATAGGAGATCATTCCTTTTGTCTGCTGGTTTATTTTGCGAAGAGACATGTTGTGCTTCTTTGCAAGTATGAAAATCTAACTATTTCCAGAGCTGATAACTTACACTTCTTACTAGATCTTTTCTATTTTCCATAAAAATCTGTTTTGTTTAAAATATCATGAACAACAGTTTTAGAATAATTAATTCATTTACATGTTTCATCCTCCAATTCTCCAAAGCAGATAATTCTTTTCAAATTTTTATTACGAAAGCAAATAAATTAAATTCTCATTTTCTTTATAATATTTTGGTTTGAGTTTTCTACGATGTAAAGTTGCAGTTTACATAATTTTGTTAATTTCGATTTTCAAAGAAAAAATAAAAGGATATTGAAAACTCAAATGATTTTGAAAAAGAAATAGGTGGTCTTATACTTATGCAACACCCAGATTTTTTTTAAAAAAATCTTTTGTCGTGTGAAACTAACTCGATTTTTCCACTTTTTTTTAAGTATTTGAAAGAATATAAATTTCTGTTGCTTCTTTAATTTAAAATTATTAATTTTATACAGTGTACCAGGAAAATAAGTGATATTCGGGTTGATCTAATAATTTTGTAACAGACTCGTGTTATTGATTTGCATTTTCATCAAACATGGAGTTCATTTAAGGACAATTCTCACCATATGCAAAACAAAATTACATACGAAAGAGAATTTGATTGGTCATTTTTCACGTTTGAAGCTTTTCACCATAAGGTTCTCATTCGCATGCAAACAATTCCCACTCAGTGTGAACAGTTCCTTGGAGACTGGAGTATTCCAGTAAGTCGAAAAGTGGTCAAAATTTCATTTGCAAAGGATATCCAACCTTACAGATACAAAAATCTTAAACTTCACAGTACGGCACAGTATTAAAACTGAGAATGATATGAAGAAAAAGGGGAACAATTTAGTTAAGCAAAATTAACTTGAATCTATTCCACTGGTAATTTTACAGCAGTACCTAATTTGCGATGTGGAATCATAAATACAGGGAACCCTGTATTTTGTACAAAATTAATTCGAACCTATTTCACTGAAGCTTTTTTTTTGTCCGCAATAAAAGTGGTAATAAAAGCAATAAAAAATTAAAAACAAAGGGAACGTTGTAATTTGGCCAGAATTAGTTTACGCCTATTCCACTAAAGGCTTTACCGCTGTATTAAACTCAGAAAATAACATCAAGAACAGGTGGAATACTGTTTCTACACTAAAATTAAATCACCATCTATTCCTCTGAAGAAATACATTTAAAAAAAATAAGTTTTTTTAACACCTTTTAATTTTCATCAGAACAATATTCTTTTATTGCCCATGAGCTGCACAATCAGTTTTCCCGATGAGCAGACCTAGTGCGTTCTCCAGAAGTGGTATCCACTCTTTCAGGATCACCACAATGGGTGAGATACCGTTGGCCGTGTTAATTTGGACGTCTAGTTTCTGCCACACTAGATGGCAGCACCGAGACTCTATTTTGGATGCTAAAGGCAATCAGAACAATATCAAACTGCAAATAATTGAAGTACTACTGTATACTACTGCATGAAGTACTACTGAAGTACTACTGCATACTACTTCTTTTTTGCTCATTGATAAAATTGGAAAAAATAAAGAATATTCGTTCCTATAACTCAAAATGAAACGAAATCTATTTTTTATAAGTTTCAAAATATCTGATACAATTTGCAATAAAATTAATCATCTTAATTCAATAATGTGAAATAATAATATAAAAAATGTATAGGAAGATTTAAAAAAATCAATCAAAAGTCAGTGCTCTAATTAAACGAACATATTTTTCTCTTTTTAAAAGAATGAATTTGCTCTTGAGGCAAGGTTAATGGCTATACTATTCCTTTCCACCAAAAACGCAATCAATAGCCCTACACCCCATAAATAACCATTATTGATAGAAATTCCATAATACGTTATAATTATGGCCATGCTACCTTTGACATTAGAAGTAAGCCCTAAGGAAATAAATCTGCTCAACTTTTCTCCAGAGATTGACTAAAAGGTAAAGACGTTTCACGCCCGAATCGATCTCCATCAACTTTTATGGAACTACGAAAATAATATCTACCCTATATATTGTAGATAGGCCATTGATGAATTAAGTAATAATATAAAATCAAAATTTTTTCAACCAAGAAATCTTTTTTTTCTTCTTCGGTGCCTTAACTATTACTTCGACCTATAATAAATAGTCCTATAGTTTTTAATAATAAAATGGAATCAGGAATTTGCAATTTTATTTTTAACATTTTTTAAACTGTTTGCCAAAATTTAAGACAATTATTATTTTTAGTA